CTATGATTGTGACCTTATTTTTCTCAACCAGTGTGATGTCTGGTGTATTATGTGCCAGTATTTTGTTGGTTTGTATCCCACAAGATCTTGACCATCTGTAAAGACTTGCATCATTATTATTATTATTATTATTATTATTATTATTATTATTATTATTATTATTATTATTATTATTATTATTATTATTATATTTGTCAAGCATGTATAAGATAACAGATATAAGTAAAAACCTGATTATGAATGCATGAAATGGATACAAAAAAATTGGGACATTAGGACAAGGACAGTAGGCATGTTGGTGCGCTTATGCACGTCCCTTACAGACCTCTTAGGAATGGGGTGAGGTCAACAATAGACAGCCTAAGGTTAAAGCTGTGAGGGTTTGGGGAAGAAACCACAGAGTCAGGTAGTGCATTCCAGGCATTGACCATTCTGTTGCTGAAGTTGTTTTTTCTGCAATCGAGTTTGGAGTGATTTACCTTGAGTTTGTATCTATTGTGTGTTTGTGTATTGTTGTAATTGAAGCTGAAATAGTCATTGACAGGTAGGAGGGTGTCTACAAGGTCGAATCCACCCAGCTTGATTCTCTTACTGACTGGTGAAATGCACAGCTTCAAAGCAATTAACTGGGGTTTTTTTGGGGGGGGGGGCATGCTTTGTTTCTGACATAGCCCTAATCACATCAATATGATGCAAGACCAATTTTTCCAATTTAAACCCAGTGAATTTTAAGCCCACCCAAATATTGTTTGCAGCTGCGTTCCAGACCTAGGATAGAAGGCTCCCAGACTAATCCATTTTCAGCCCAGCCTTTATGTGATTTTATATAATTAGAAAGAGTTGCAAAATAAAAGAGAAATATGGCCCCATTTATAATCATACCTGGAACTGATGATCCTTTGTGAAGAGCTGGTAAAAACAAAAAACACGGTTGTGTTAAAATCCCCTTTTAAAAAACCCAATATCTGAACAGTTGGTTAAATGCGCATATAAATCCCCTTTGCTACCAAATAGACATTTAAAATTTCATACAACTAAGATAAAGTATCAACAATTAGAAATTCATCCACAGAAAGCCATCAGCTTTCTGCAGAATTTCTAACTGGCTATAAGTCAATTTATTTGAGAAATAAGAATGGCCTTTGAGATAAATGGACATGTTTGTCCTGGGTTATCTCTGCAGTTGTGTGACTTCTGACATGTTAGTCATGCCTGATTCAGTTCAAAGGGGCTACGCACTTGGAGAGGCAATTTCCAGCTGCTTGCGACAGTTAACAAATAGAAGCAGTTTCCTCAGTTGCTCCTTTAGAGATTTTTCCCTCATTTCCTAACAATGAAATGATGAGAAATTTTGGGCACAAATATTTGAATTGGCTTCTTTATAGCATTGGTTGTCACAAATATTTCCATTTGATCAGCAGCGTTTGGTTAAGTACAGAAAGACCTCGATTTATGACCATAATTGAGCCCAAAATTACTGTGGCTAAGCAAGACAGTTGTCAAGGGAGTTTTGCGCCTTTTATGAGCATCCTTACCATATTCACTGTTAAGTGAATCATTGCAGTTGTTAAGTTAGTAACATGGTTGTTAAGTGAATCTGAATTCCTCGTTGACTTTGCTTGCCAGAAGGTTGCAAAAGGGATCGTGTGACCCCAGGACTCTGCAACCATCACACATACATGCCAGTTGCCAAGTGTCTGCATTTTGATCATGTGACCAAGAGGATGCTGCAATGGTCGTAAGTGTGAGGAAACAGTCATAAGTCACTTTTTTCAGCGCTGTTATAACTTTGAATGATCACTAAACAAATGGTTGTTGAGGGCTATCTATAGTAAAACTGTATGGAAATGTAAATTGCTTATTCCTGCAAATTGCCATTAAGAGCCTCAGTAAATGTTGAAAGTTAAAAAGGATGAACTCCAATTAGCATGTTGAAGGGAATACAGGTCAGGTCTATACCGATCTGCTCCATCCAACCAGATGTTCTGTAAAGCAGTGTTTCTGAACCTTGGCAACTTGAGGATGCGTGGACTTCAACTCCCAGAATTCCCCAGCCATCTGCTGGGGAATTCTGGGAGTTGAAGTCCACGCATCTTCAAGCTGCCAAGGTTCAGAAACACTGCTCTAAAACGCAACATCTGGGTCACGCTTTGCTCTCCAGATTGGCAAATTTAGATTCAACAACCCTCCTCTACTGCTCCCTTAGGCTCAATTCAGCTTCAGAAAAAAAATCTATTTGCTTTGCAACCTTATAATATAATGAGATCACGTCTGTTCAGCTGAAGTTGGATGTGTGTTTTGTTTGATGACCAGGAGCCATCAAGTCAGGCTGAAATCCAGATGAAACACTAAAAACGCAGGCTGGTGTGGCTTTGTTTGTCAAATGAGAACTCTTCCCCCTCTCTCAACATGGGACACGCCAGCCGCTTTGACTAAGAGTTTTAGCATGAGCTAAGATAAACTCCTGGTAGGTGTAACGCTTGCAAACTGTGACTTAATGCCTTTAATTCAGAGGCCTGTTGCCTGAAGCAAGATTTTACGGAGGCAAAATTATCCCTGAAAAAAGAAATGGGGATCGCTCCCTCAGGGCACTCATCCGCCTTCCCGTTCGTCATTCATGACCTCATCCTTTGAATCCAGTTCAATTTATACAGCGAGTACAAATCATCAGTAATTCTTGACGTACAACCATTTGTTCAGTAACTGTTTGAAGTTACAACGGCACTGAGGAAAGGGCCGTTTTTCACGCTTACGACCATCGTGGCATCCCCTGTGGTTGTGTGATCAAAATGTAGCTCCTTTTGTTTACGATGGTTGCAACTGTCCCAGGGTCACACCATGACCACCTTTTTGTGACTTTTAAAGTCAGCCAGGGTTGCTTAATGACCGCATGGTTCGCTTAACATCTGCAATGATTCGCTTAACATCCGTGGCAATAAAGGTTGTCAAATGGAGCACAATGCACGTAACAGCTGCCTCGCTTAGCAACAGAAATTGTGGGCTAATTGCGGTCCTAAATTGAGAACCACCTGCATGAAATTCTGCACCAATTATATAGATTACAGCTGGGGGGGGGGGGCGCTATGGAATCCTTTTGAATATTGTCCATAAAAAGAAAAAAATATCACTCTGAGGGAAAATAGAGCTTTTCTTTAAAACCAGCCTACGTTTAGCTAAATTCCTTATTTTCTAGATGTTTGAAAAAGAATTAATTTTTCCCCTTGCTGCTTAAAAAAAAAAAAAAATCTGAAATGTTGTCTATGTTTTTCTGGATTTTTCCCCTTCCCACATTTGTCTCATAGGCCAGATCCTCCTTAGAATTAAATTATGGTTCAAAATTGAGAGGAATGCGGGCCAAACCTTTTATCTTCTGGTAGACCTTCCAGGCTATGCACCGGAAAGTGGTCCCCAAAAAATCAAGATGGCGGCCAAAACAAAAATCAAGATGGCAGCCACAACAAAAATCAAGATGGCGGCCACAACAAAAATCAAGATGGCAGCCAAAACAAAAAAAATGGTCGTGTCTTATTATGTCCAGATAGTATGGCTGCCAACTTGACCTTTGAACCCACCTGCGTACACCCCAGGATCTCAGCTGGCAGTTTGCATTGAAGGAAGAACCAGGGATTTCATTTTCCACAACCCCTCAACCCCTCCTTCAATGGCTGCATTTACTGATGGTTGGCGGATTTGAACAAAAAGCCACATTAGGAAGCCAGTTTTGAGCAGCAGCAGTAACTGGATATACAGCAAGCAGTAGCGCAGAGCACAGGAGAACAAAAGAGCTGGAAAATGCGGGAAAGTCACAAAAGGTGGGATAAATCTCTTATTTCAATATTTTGTCTGTCCAATGTTCGTGGCGGAAGGTTATAAGGGTTGAGAAAGAAAGGGAAACCCCAGAAAAAATGGCTATCCTGTTTCTTAGTAATCAATAAATCATAATGTGCCAGCACGTTGAACTTGGCTTTAATGCAGGAGTGCCTACAATTGGTGCCTTTCTCTCAATCACTCTCCAAGACGAGGTCAAACAAGTCAAATCGACCAGTTTGGCACCAGAGAACAAATATGTACTCTGAGTATAAAATTTCCTTGTTTTCTGAGGACCTACAGTTGCCATGTTCCTGCTTTGATCTCTTCCCAATTCCACAATGGATGCTGAGGCTTTCTGCAGTCATTGCTCATGGCATAACTGCTTTGCAATCTTGAGAAAAATCAAACAAAATGTTCAAATTTGAGATCTGGAATTCCCACTTGTGTCTGATAGGATAAGGAATGGTCATGACAAACAAAACTGGTATTTTTTAACTAGCATTTCACAGGTTAAGGAGTTGGGAGTCCTGACATTTAAAACAGGTTGTGCTGTTCAGCTGGGAAAGAAGATTTATAACTGCACCTTTCCCAATTTTGACCTTCTTAGCAAATAAAACTACAACTCTTTGGCTTTCCCACTTCTTCGGATTCCTTTCCATGAAAGAGATTCAGGAAAAAAGCAAGTAAACTTGCCCCCAAGAAGCAAAGGGGGGTATTCAAGATGAAGGGTGTGAATGCATAACTGAAGACACAACAGCTTTTTAATGTGACTTTTGGGGAACCACTTTACATTAGCTGACACTGGCAGGTCCCTTGGACGATGGTAGCTTGTTCTTCTGACTGCTTTGGTGTCTCCAAGGCATGGAATGGCAGCAAGAATAACAGGCAAAAATTCAACAGGGTGAGATTTCCCCAGTATAACATCTTTGCACAAAGAGATTGGGCTGGCAGAGTGGCTAGCTGATGAATGGACAGACAGACAGACAGTTAGTTGGCGGGAGGGAGGGAGGACAAGAGGGAGGGAGATCAATTGATCATAATTGCAAAGTTATCAAGAACTATACAAACAGACAGAAGAATATTGTACTGTATGTTCTTCCATTTGTAACATCCCCAGTGGAAGAAATGTTACCGATGGGAAGTTTTACAGTGGGAGTACATGTGTGCTCTCCATTGCCACACTGGGTTCATCCTTAACCACGTTTTAAGACTCACAGAAACGCATATGAAAAGTTAGCTATGAATAGCCTAAGTTTGGCTGATTACAGTGGGAAACTGAGATTAGACAAATCTAAACCAATGCTTCTCAACCTTAGAAACTTTAAGACGGGGAATTCTGGGAATTAGAGTCCACCAATCTTAAAGTTTTGCTGTGGTTGAGAAACATTGGTCTAGATTCAATACGTACACTGCACTTTCTTAAAGGCGGCAGCTGTATGTTACACAAGCATCACCAACAGTAATCCTCCTGTTTGAAACTTTAGCTCAGGGTCATACGTGAATCAGCTCCCTCCATCACTACCCCTGCTCTCTTGTGAAATTGTCTTCATTTCCTGTACAAAATTGGAAAATATATATTGAAATTGCCCGCTTCCAAGACTAATAGGAACTCCTGGTTTGCAGAGAGGAAGGGATACTCATCCTTGTTGCCACATTGGGGGAAAACGTACTGATTTTTACAGATCAGCCTGGAGCAGCCAGGATAGTCAAAGCAGCTGGCTTTGCTTAGATCACCTTCTTTCATGCTTTTCCCTCTCAAAATGAGTGATGGGCAGATTTTGAACTGAATGCCTCCATCGGCACCACTTCCAGACATTCTTAAACTTATTCTAAACAGAAGTACCAGATTGCTGTTAAGCTTATGTTATTCCAGTTTGTCTCAAAAAGGATATGGCATCTACAGCTGGTCTTTTCTAATATTGAGTATATCCCGTTTTTTTTTAGAAATAGCCAGAATCAAATGAGATTAAACTGTGCAACTTTCAAGAGTTAAGTTCCAGTCTCTTGCACTTTTTTGATAAAGCACCAATCATTTGCATACCCTCCCTGCTTTTTGCTAATCTATCTACTGTATTTGCTAATATATCTTCCTCCAATGCACCTCTGCCATCTCTTACCCCCATAAAAAATGTAAATACTATAAAGATTTTTATTGGCAGGGTAATGGCCGTTAATAGCCCTTATTCCCACCCGTTATCCAGCCATGAGTACCATATGGCACATGATAGAACTCTATTAACTAATCTACCACTGATAATATTTGTTTAGCCAAAGCTATTGGGTTTGGCTTGCAAATTTGGCTTTGTTTTCTGTCGCCACATGTTTGCTGAGAAGGTAGATACTTCATTTAACCACCCAATCATCTTTTTAATAAACAGGTTGTAGATTATCCAACCACCAAACTGAATCAACTTGTAATAAATTATAAATCAAATTAGCGCTCTAAAACCCAGGCGCACACCTGGTCTCACTAACCCTTTATCCAAGCTTAGCAACTCACCCAAAAGGACCAAGGCCAGAATCAGCCCAATGTTGGCAGATCTTATCTGTCTGTTCATCTTTGCCAAGTTATTTCTTTGCATCTGCTTGTTCTCTGCAGGACTCAAGGTTTATATATATTCCAGGCATGTTGCAGGAGGAGGCTCCCTGGGTCGCTCCGCCCACACCACACCTCTTCTGCCTTGCACAATCTGGCATTTTTCAGCATGTGTAAATCTGAAGCCAAATTAGTCATCTTCCTCTCCCCCCCCCACCAAGGATCTAATATGCGTTGCCAGAATATTGACAGCAGTGGTCCTGCTGATTTAGGAATAGGGAGGGGGGGATGAATTTTTGATCATTCTGTGGCTTCCCCCTTGCCCCTTGTAAGATGGATTCAGACAATCTTTTTTGCCAGCTTTTGCTGATTCTTTGGGTCTTATATATGCAGGAATTCCTTTTCAAGGATACAGTCAGAAACAATCCTTGCCTCTCCACGCTTTCAGTGCCCATAATTCCTGCCGGGAGATTAGTTAACTCCAGCTCTTCTGGAAATCAAATCGGTTGTATCTCCAGGCTTTCCATCTTCCCCAAGCAGGGAGAAGTTCCAGATCTACAGCTGTTTTTTCAGTATTTGCTCAGTGGCCTTCGATGGGAAAACAGGTAAGATGGCGGGCAAGGGCATCGCAATGCCTCTTTGCTACTGCATCACGATGCTTCAACTGATGTCTTCCTCACGTTGATCCTCTATGGAAGCTATTTATTCATTTGTTTTGGAAAATTTATATAGATGCCTACTTGCTCATGGCATTTTAGAAAATAAAAACACAATGTAGAAGAAATGAATAATAAAAAAATAATAAAATAACCCTCCCCACACGTCCTTGGTGACAACACACACTCATATCAGCCATTTAATGAAAACTACAATTGCTATAAATATACAAATACAGTAAAACGCAAATATCCACATAGGAAACTCGCTACGGTAATTCCACAGTTACATTCTGTCCAGTGGCAGGTTTCAAAATTTCTTAGAACCTCTTCTATAGGTGTGGGTTGCTTTGTGGGAGTGGCTTGCCAGCCACGTGACAGGGTGGGAGTGGATTGCCAGTCATGTGATTGAGTGGGAGTGGCTTGCCAGTCATGTGACTGGATAGGCAT